TAGAGACATAAAATGCCAGAGGAGTTGGTCCGCTAGAGAGTACATTTTTCTTTGTCCCCTGGCATGTTGTCTCTCTATTTGGCCAATTTCTTCTCTTTCCAGACGCCTCCCGAAGCCTGGTAGAGGCTAGACTGATTCAGTGATTGGGCAAACTGTTCTCTTAGCACGGACCAACTCCCCTGGCATGTTATATGTCTATTTGGCCGATTTCTACTCTTTCCAGCCGCTTCACGAAGCCTGGTAGAGGCTACTTCTCTCACACAGAGATATCCATGGGAAATACTATTATAACCTTGGGATCTCAGCTCATAGTAGATATTGCAAAGTTTTACTACGTATTCGTATACCCGTATCAAAACCGCATATTGTTGCAGACGCATATTTCTGAAAATGTAAAAATCAGTAAAAAGATTATGTATTTGTGGAGAACTACGCCATACCCAAAGCGTGCCCTTACTCAATCTCAATTTCATAAAATTTGTTTATGTTCGCTGAGTACACAGATGACTTTTTTTCACAACTCCTCGATGATATAAACAATAAATAATAAAACTTTTTTCAGTACACAACCAAGAAAAAATTATCAGCCAGGGTTTTGGTAGCCCTTGAATAATAACTGATTATAGCACTGTGGTAGTTTATGGAAGCAAAAGGACGAAACGTTGGCTTGGTTGTATAGCAAAGAAACTTTATTATCTATTTATCATTTTCCCCAACTAATGAAACTATTCATGGAGCTTTCCTGTCGTATTTCTATATCGCCTTGAGTCCTAAACACTCCGACTTTTATTCCAGCACGTACGCCTCTTTTGAGCAGTTCTTGTTTGAAATATGTTTCTGTCACTTCGAGTCTTTAGGGGCATCCGTCTCTGGCTTTGTACCGCCGTGAGTGCATCGATATTACCGCTAACAGTTCCCGTTGAGCACACGTGTGTCTGGGACGGGGAGAATAAATGTGTCCTCCCGGTTTGATATCTCTTTATCACCATGTGGGGGCGTGATGGACATATGGGGTCCTCCGTGCACGACCCCCTACGTGATCGTTACAGGTGCGTAGTATAGATTGCAAGAAAAGTAGTGCACAGAAATATATTTTTTTTTTCTTTGGTCATTCAGTTTAGTACTGCTTTTTTCTTTCCTTTTTGTGTTCATTTTGGATCCAGTTTTAGCCTCCACCAGGCCTTTCTACGGGAATACGGATCGTAGAATTCGGCAAAAAGGAGAGTAAAATTGACCAGGGGAGTCCGGCCGCGGAAGGTTGTTTCTTTCTCTCGCAGCCAGTCAAACCCCAAGGCGGCCAAACTCCCCTGGCAAATATTCTCCTATATATAACCAGCGTAGTTAGTCTGGTAGAGGCTAGTCCAATTGTAAGAATTAAAAGAGTAGAAACAGAAAGACACTCCTGGTCCCGGACTGGGGATCGAACCCACCACACCCGGGCACCACGATTGACACCCTGACGCTCTAATCATTCAGCTAAAAGGTCTAGACCCATCGGCCGTATCAGTTAGTAGCGCCTAGCCTCTACCAGGCACCGCGGATCGCTGGAAAAATAGTAGAAATTGGCCATAGAAGATCCAATTGGATCAGGGATCTCTGGTATACTATCCCTTTATTTCGGCCAATTTCTACTATTTTTCCAGCGATCCGCGGTGCCTGGTAGAGGCTAGGTAGCGCCTATAAACCCTCCACTAGTACTGTTACACAATTTGCAGGTGCGCCTTTGTACGCCAGAGTACGGTACGGGTGCGAAAGAACAACAAGGCCCACATACCGGAGCGCTACCGTGCATAACACACACGGCTACCGGCGATGAAAGCAGCTTAGTCTAGCATTTGTGGGATCAGTGGAACCTTCGGGGCACCGCTGGCATGGAAACCACAGCCCACGGGAACGGTTCCTAATCTCCAAGCAGATCTTTCGGTGGCAAGACAGTATCCATTGGCCAGAGGAGTGTCCATACTTCGGTGGCTAATAGACACTCCTCTGGCCAATGGATACTGTCTTGCCACCGAAAGATCTGCTTGGAGATTAAACGGTTTCAACGTTTCCTTTCAATGCAACTTCAGGGCGGCAAAACTGGACATTTCAGGGCTTAGAAACCAGCCCTAAACCATAAAGTTGAAACAACACTGTCCCAATGTATATCGACATTCATGGAGCAAATTAAAATAAAAATGCCCAAAATTCTGACGAAAAACGGTTACTGGAAGGACCTGGCACGGTAAAACGATCACGCCAACGTTACCGTAACCTTAATTTCTGCTCGCCCAATTTCGATGCATGTTTTCTCGCTTTCCACACCTCCACAGACGCCCTGCGTGCCCTCTCGGGGTTATCCACACATATTCCGGAATGTGGAGAAGCCTTTTGCTTACTCACGACACTGATAGATTTTTCCGCAACGCAATAAATTTACCCAGTGCCGCTCAATTTCACCCCTAGCAACGCCCGTGCGCTTTTCACGCCGGCGGGGTCGGGTGGATTCTTTCAGGGTATGTTCTGTCTCCCCGCACGGTGAGGTCGCCCGGGCCACCACAGGACAATGCCCCTTCTCTCTAAACTCTGAAATCCGGTTTTGTGTTTGTGAACAATGTCGCGGTAACGTAAACTACTCGTCTTGTGAAGCTATTGTCACATACAGACGTCATTTGAGAGTATTGTTTGGACCAAGGGTGCCTTTTGAGAGAAATTTTGTCCGATAGCGGATATGTTTGCTGTATCAATGAAGTTTCTTGAATTGAATGATCTTTTGTTTTCTTGTCAAGAAATATCCTATAAAATTTGAGTAGCAAAATCTATAAATAAATCCAATATAGATCTAGATAAAATCAAAAGAAACAAACTGTATTTCTGCAAAATTGCAGTACTGACGATAAACGTAAGATTAAGAGTAAAGTACACAATATTTTGTTTGAATGTTGTTACGTATGAATGTTTTTTTCCTTTCGCTTCATGTATACGTAACTTCTCCGAAAATTACAGTTGAAATTACCACTGAAAAATATTGAAGTAGCATTTATAATATTACTTCAAAATGTTTTAGAACAAATATACTAGTTTATTGCTTATTTTCTTTAGCGCAACATAAAATGTGCTGTACTACCGTAAAGATATACAGGGGTTATGGTTATGACTGGATTGATGTAAACACTATCTGCACCCTGCCGCGCTTCTAGCTGTGATACAGCTGCTATATTCAATATGGAAAACACGTCGGTTCAAATAGATGCAAGGTCCAGATACAAATATACAATATACAGAAATCAATGAAACATCAGACGTTTTAAAAATGCAACGTTGAAATCGCTGTAATTCAGTCTTGAAACATCAAAATATCGGCATTGTTTATATAATACAGAAATGGCTTGACATAAAATATATAATATGCAAAGCTTGCCTTGCTCTTTGTTCACACACAGCCGGTATTCTATAAAGAGAATGCCCCCCCCCCTTCAAACTGTGCTTTAGATTATACGGTCCATTGGTCAAGTTAAAACGGCGACTGTACAAAGACTTCAAGGGAAGGGGGTTGCACGAAATGCCAGCTGTTGACATCTGAGAATGCATTTTATTCCGAAATCTTGAATAAATATGAAAATAGTCTATGCTACGCTTTTGTTTGAAAATTGTGCAACGCCTAACAAAATCTTCACGATATACAAATATTCCATAAGCGTTCAGTGACTGAAGTTGTGGACATTATTCAAAGTAAAAAATATAAAATCAAAGCTGACATGGTGGCAAATTCGCCAATATTATTCCACCGTGTAGAAGTGGTTGGCGCTAGTTTGACTCTCATTTCCAAGCAGATGTTAAAAGGGAGATCGTCACTTTTATAACTGCTCCGTTTTGAATTACATGTAAAATGGAGATTTTGTTTTTGGTCTCTCACTAACAGTGTTAGCCAACAGTACGTATGATCATGGAACGCTGAGAGTTGTATATATCCGATTTGTATATATAATGTAGGTTTTAAAAGCACTTCCCTTATTACTTTTAATGTGGTCAAGTATGTACTTTTAAGCGTATTTTTAAATCTGTCATTGTTGTAAAACACGCAATTCAGCCTGTGGCAGCCATGTGTTTTTGACGAATAAACCTTTCATTCATTCATTCATTCATTCATTCATCTCTCTCTCTCTCTCTCTCTCTCTCTCTCTCTCTTAAAAGTCATTATTTGCATCTACATCTGGAAGTGCTCGCTGTTTCCGAAGGTATTTTTTAATTCCATTACATGACCTCCTTTACAGCTGATAGTGTTATTTCCCTTGCATGATAAAGAAAAGACACTATGGTGAACGAGAAGGACAAAGTCACCATTATATAAGATCTAAATATTCCATGGAGGTCTGAGATCTCAGAATTCTTGTTTTTCAACGGTTCAATAACAGGAGACAGTGAAGAAATATTACGATCTCCTCTTCCAATATCTGCTTGGTGATCGCCCTAGAACCATTGCCGTCGCCATGCACGCGTGAAATGCCCCATGTCGTTAGCTGGGCTTCAAATGGAACAAATATCAATACAAGAGATCGGAGCCACTGCATAAAGTCCATTCAATAATATCCTGAGGCCACTTGGAACGATAGTTGAGGACCCGCCTCGATGCTTCACGCTATTCCATAATACGTGGGTCTTTTTTTCATCTCCATATATAAAATACAAGCCGGCACTTTTATAAGACTACAAACATACCGATGTAGCCTCAAAACAGGCTGCGAGAAGGATCGTAATGTTGCAGTTTTTGTTTTGATTCTGTTTTTATTTCGACAATTACGTATTGCTTTCTGATAGTTGTATTTGCTAGTAAAACGTGGCAATATTAACTAGCACAGAAGACAATACGTTATCGACAAAGCAAACAATAGCAACAAAGAGAAAAACAAAAACAAACAAAAAAAGCAACATTAGGACATCCCTCCGAAGCCTGATTTGTAGACTAACAACGACATAACCGGATGCCACGTTACATTTTTTTCACAAATATCACAATATCTTTTTATCATTGGCGTTGACATAGTTAATACAAAACACATCTGTTACAAAATTAGAGTTCACTTCTACATGTACAGTTCACTATATGTTCCCATGATATACGCAAAGGGCACTAGACGATATGTAGACTGACTAAAGCACTGTTTCAAAACCTTACCTGGTATACAAAACAGTCAGTTGTCTTGTTGATTCCTCCTTGAAAGCTTGCAGTATGACAACAGGTATAACTATTTTGCACAAAGCAACATTTTTGTGTTCTTTCTGAGCCCGTACGAAAGCAACAGGTTGTTCCTATCTTCCCTCTACGTGGTATGTCTTCCGACACTTGTGGATCTGTTCGTAGACTGAATCAATCCTCTCATTCAACGTCCTGAGATTCGCATCCGGAAGAAAAGGCAGCCATCTTTGGAGGGGCTCGTTCGCTTTGAATTCTTTCAAGAGAAGGTCCCCGACGTCTTTCTTTTTGTGCAAACTCTCTATGATGTGAGCGGTCCTTTTCTTAAAGACGCACAGCGACTTGAGGAGAGAGTCGTGGAAGTGTGCGTATTTGTCAAGGAGTCGGTAACTGTGGAGGAGTCCGCTTTCGTTGTCGAAGAACACCAGAGAACCGTCTGTCGCAGACTTCTCCAAGTTGTGGACAGGGGAGTCCATGATCTGTGAGTTCCACTGACGATTGAACATGTTGTTGGCCACGCGGTCAAAATTTGCTGAAAAATAATGCCAAACATTAATAAGTTTATTGCAAATTCCTACCCGAAGGCGTATTGCAAATATAACAAGCTTAAGCTTAAAAAAAGAAAGTACATTGAACATCGAGTACCAAATATCTCTAAAATATACATAATAAAAGGTAATATGTCTAAAACTATGTCTGAAGGGTTAAAACATTGTTATTAGCCAAAAAACCATCTCAATGTGTGTAGGTAATTTCCAGTTTTCCAATTTGATACTGTGTATTGCTGCCACCTAAATATCTGCTTGGAGATAAAGAAAACTGACCTACAGTACAGCCTGAAGAAGACGAAACATTCTGTAGAAAATTTCTTGTCACTGAGTCAAAATTTATGTTTGTGGATTAATTTAAAGTTTAACCGACATCACTAGTAATGTATTTATTTTAAGACATTGTCACATTGGGTGACAACGTCCTTGTCATTTAAGGCCCCAACCTTGACTTTGCATTCTAATCAGTGCTAGGATAAATACTGCATATCGATTGGATTTCAAATGAACATGCCCTCAGTAGAGTGAGGCTAACGGATAGTTGGACACTTGCCCACTTGCCAGTCTTTGTGATATTCTTCCAAGATAAGAAAAAAACGTATAGCCTTCTCCAATACGTCTGCGATTGCAACTGCGTGGGGGGAATGTCTGGCGTTTTTGGAAGAAGTTCAAAGACATTCTTCATCTTTCTATTGATCGTTTTCGACGTACGGAACGAAGGATACGTTTGCCACCAGTGATTTCTCTCTGTGTTAGCTAGGTACAATCTTCAATAAAAAAATCTCAAAGCATCTAAAAATAAACACATTGGAAGAGGGGCATATAGGACTAAAAAGACATCCAGACACCTTTGAGCCTTTACTGGCGTCATGTGACCGTATGGTCACGTGCCCAGCGTAAGTGGGTCATCTGTTCTGAAGAAGGCCACGCGGATATTACGTCAGTTTTATTCATTTTGCTGAATATGAAAATCAAACCTCAATCACTTTTTAGTGACACATAATGGTTGCTTGTTTCGTATCATAGCCTGGCTCTAGATATTTATTGGTGGTACCAAAAATAAATGGTCTCTTCGCGTTACTTGCTTTTGAGATATTTCAAACGCTCACTTTGGAGATATTTCAAAAGCCTGAAGTATACGAATTATGATAAGAAATGACAGTAAATGTCAATATCAGGCAGATTTCCTCATCCAGAATATGTTTTGTTTTACCGCCCTGAATTGTATTGGATGCCTTTAATCATGTGTGACTGGTCGAAAACTCTAGATGAGAGAAATTTCTTTGATATGTCTGTGAAGGTTAGACATCCAGGTAATGAGATACGCCAAAAAGCAATTATTCAAGCAACTGGATATGATTTTGGACCAGATATGATTTCCAAAATCATATCCAGTTGCTTGAGTAACTGCTTTTTGGCGAAATTTCTTTGTGTTGCATCAAAAGTTTAAACTTAAAACCCGTCTTCGTACCTGTTAGGTAATCGAACACGATGAGATCTGACCACTGCGCGAGCTCGCCCAGCTCTGCGGCGGACAGCCCGACCAGGTCCTCGGGGACGGGGTGGAGGCGCCGGTCGTCGTACCGGAGCTTGCGCGGGATGTAGGCGGGGATGAGGTGGTCCGCCCACCGGGAGAGGATGACCAACTTCCCCTCGTTCCACTGGGACAGGTGCACGTCGTGTGACACCTCTGTCCACTGAAAAGAAATGATCAGTCATACGTTAGAGTTTGAAAAGCTTGTCGAAACATGCAACGTAGCCTGGATACCAGTCCAACAGCACACTAGGTTATACTGTGTTCCTCTAACTCTGAATAACTTTGGGCCTAGTGTGCTATGGGCCTGGCATCCAGGCTACACGCAACGATAACCAAATAACATGTTTTTCAGTAAAATAGGCATCAAAATAGAAATTCAATGGCGATACCATAAGAGCACAAACAAATGCTGTATCCAGAACCGTGCTTTATGCAGAAGGCACGGTTCTGGATAGCCCAAGCGTATCCAGAACCGTGCCAGGGGCAAATCTACGTTCTTGGATATGCGAAGACTATATCAAGAACCGTGCCTGGTCCTGGCCCCTGTCTATTCAGGCATAGAACTAAGTAGGCACGGTTCTGGATACCATACGGATGTACAAATCAATGGCTTTCCATTGTAATATTGCTTGAAGAATGTACGGTTTCAATTGTTTCTCATAGACACAGAAAAAGTTGAAACAAGTAAAATCTGAGATTTTATACCTCCGGGCTTTTTATTGTATATTTTTATATAGGGTTTTAAACAAAGAATTTATCGAGACCGGACACCCCTCTGTGTGAGGGGTCATATACGTGGACCAGACCGAGAATAGCTTAAACACGCCAAAGGTCAACGGTCGCGACCACTTTCACGCTCAAAGGGGTGTTTTGGGGCCACCAAAAGGCACTATTTTCACGCCCGAAAACACATATACAATAAAAACAAAAGAACGTTTATCATCCGCAGCCCAATAGCAAAACATATACCGAGTCTCAAAAGAATCCGTCCACCCAAACGCGAGAAACAGCTGCGAACATGAAAATCTAAATCTCTCACAAAACCCTTCCGCGCAAGGATGTCTCCTTCCCCGGAGGTAATGATCGACTTGCAAGGAGTAAGACACAAACAAAGCAGGGCTAACCCCACGTGAACCTACCTGGTGAGAGTTGGTGTTGACCGTGCTCAGGACACACGGAGGCACGTTTGGGATTTCAAGCACACGGCTGAGGTAATAAGAGAACACTTCTCCTAAACAAAACAAAGATAAACAACATGGTAAACAGTGTGCAACACTTGTCCTAAACAATCAAAGATAAACACGGTAAACAACGTGCAACACTTCTCCTAAAGAAACAAAGGTAAACATGGTAAACAATGTATAAAGTTTCCCTCGCTCAAAGAATGCTTGCTGTACCGTTCAACCCCCGTCACACATTCAGAACCTTCCCCCGACCAACAACCAACCAATTTGGTTTTGCTGATGTTTGGGAGCAGTTTGACCAGATTTTGGCCACACCTATCTTTCCATACGAATAGAATAGAATTTAAGTTAAATTTGACTCAAATTTGAACACGCGCGAACACTGATGACCTACTCCCGAACACCAGCCAATCATGGTCCAACCTCCTGTAACACTCTAGTATTTCAAACATGTTGAAACATTCGACTGGCACTGTGGCACAGCCGAACAGTTGCCGACTTTGCCGAACACCAGCCGACCTTGTTCGGTAGTGTTCATGAGGCCATATTCGGCTATAAACGACAAGGACTTTATCTGGAAGAGTACTAGTAAAGCTGTAACCACATTCCGAAACACAACCGAACAGAGTCACGGATTTCATTGGTTCGATGAAGACAATAGGCAATAAAAGTACAAACTGGATGACGGATGAAGAAAAAATCTCATCCCCCTACCTCGTCCTTGGGGTATAGAAACTTTCTACATTATCCTCCCAAGCGAAACTAACAGTAGTAGATGGATGACGGCAATTTCAGATACTAGAAGGGCCGTTTCATCATTGTCACGGCGTGCTAAGACATTCCCGGGGTACTGGGGACTATAGTTTCTTGGAATTTGGCGAGTCTTGGCCAGACTCCTCTGAGGCATGGATAAATACACGTAGAAATTGGCTCAAATAGAGTGAATAATATGCCTAGAGGATATGTACCATCCTGGTTAGTTTACGTCCGTAGCGACTGTGGAAGCGGACGTAAACTAAACAGGATTGAACCCAGGCTATGCTAAATGGCTAACTGGGCCCTTTCTAGTCAGTTTTAACTTAAAAGTAATACGTCAAATTATGTCCACTTATTGAGTCTATCGAAGCAATTTTGAAAAATGCAGTTCTGTGAAATTTTGCATAGATTCATGTTGTGGAGATTTACGTGCATTTTATACATTTCCCGTTTTTAATAATAATAATAATAATAATTGTGGTATAACCAAATCAAAATAAATATAATAGAAAGTTTATTGCAAATTCATGCCCGAGGGCTCATCGCAAGATCATAATAACATAAATAAACAGTAAAAATGATAAAAAGTAATGCTAATGCTACTTTGGATGTCACAAATACATGTAATAATATAAATATCACAAAAGGCGTTTAGAATCAGTCAAAAAGGGTTTACACAAAGTGACATTATGTAATAATTGGGTATTTTTTCCGTTGACAGAAAAGTAGAAAATTCAGTTCCTTACCTTGTATTTCGTAAGAAAATTCAAACTCTACTACTGGATTAGTTACGGGTTTTTATTTATTTCCGGACGTTTCGAGTGACATCCATCACTCTTCTTCAGCGTCACAAATGAACAGAGAACCGATTCACTCTTATATACAAGTAACTAGAAAAACCGGTTAAACAACAAGGTCCGTAAGAAGCTTTATCATGTAAAAGAACGGTTCACTCAATATACAGGTAATTAGAACTAGAAAACCTGTTCAACAACCGTAAGAGTCTTTAAAATCCGTAACTGATCCAGTAGTAGAGTTTGAATTTTCTTACGAGTATCGTTTACCTGGATGTCTAACCTTCATCAACTTACCTTGTATTTGGTCCGTGTTTTGTCGGTATCGTGCGCAGCTTAGAGAACCGTCTTCCAGGGTCAGTAATCTGTTGAGCATGCGCCCACAACCCTCCTGTAGGACAGGCAACAAAACGCAAAGAAAAACACTTTTTAATTGGGGACTTTTGCGTTTAGATGGCGTTAAAATGGCGTCTACGACCTGTTCGTTTGAAGTACGTGAATAAGTATCTATTAGCAATATCTAAGTAGCAATTTTCCACTATACTTCCCTTGGGAATTTGGGATTTTTTCTTTAATATATATTGTTACGTGAAGACGTTTTCACTGCCTGTATGGCTAGGGATTTGAGTGATGAATCTGTTGGTTTTGTAAGAATAAGGCGATTACTTATGAAATTGTACGTTTGGATAGCCGATTTCTCTATATAGCTAGGCTTATATTATGGTAGCTTCCAGCATTGTCACAGTGGCGCCGGTTTTGGCAGACATACAGAAGTGTCTTACGGAACGATGCATTAAAAAAGATGCATTATGTAACAATAGGACGATGCAAAAAGTGCACTTTCTAGCCATTTCTTTAAAACCTAATTTGAATCAACTCTAATCCATTGCGAATTCAGGAAGTGGAGGTGTCAAATACATGTATAACGCCTTGCCAGCGTGTTTAAAAGATGGAAACATAACTGTCAGCCATGTTTGTTTACATTCTGGTATTTTGTAGTAGTGTCATGTTCTATAGCGCTAACCACAAAAGATCAACTCATAGCTTCTCAAGTTATGGTGTCGACAAACATATAAATTGTACAGACCAAGACCACAGCCACTCCAACATAACACAACCGAAAACACAACCTTCTGTCGAAGGTAATAACTATTCTGGTCATTACACGTTATATAATTATATAATACATTATATAATGTGATTTCAGGGCAGCAAAACTGGAAATATTCTGAATAAGGCAATCTTTATGATATTGACACATACTGCATCACATTAGCACATTTTAATCAGTATTTCATACTTAAGGTATTTAAAACTGCAGAAACAAGCCGCAAGATGAGTCCTTTATTTTCTGGGTGGTACCCCAAATATCAGCCAAGGGCCCTTTCAGTAACCATTTTCCGTCAGAATTTTGGGAATTTTTGCTCCATGATGGTCAATATACATTGGGATAGTGTGGTTGCAACTCAGTATGTAGATAAATGGCTAGAATATTGACATTTAAATCAGTATAAGTATACTTAGGGTATTTAAACTGCAGAAACAAGCCGCAAGATTAGTCCTTTATTTTCTGGGTGGTACCCCAAATATCAGCCAAGGGCCCTTTCAGTAACCATTTTCCGTCAGAATTTTGGGAATTTTTGCTCCATGATGGTCAATATACATTGGGATAGTGTGGTTGCAACTCAGTATGTAGATAAATGGCTAGAATATTGACTTTGAAAATTTGTGTTTCCAAGCCCTAAAAACTGCACTGGATGCCTTTAACGGAGCTCCTAAAAATAGGACTGTCATGAAATGCACTGTCTCTCCCCCAAGGCGATTCAGAGCGACGTTGGGGCGCTTTTGTGGCGACAAAATTGGGTTATATGACAAATGACTACCGCCGGGAGAGATGTAACTATTTATAAAATATGCCGCACAAAAAGTAGCTTGCAAAGAAAAGGCTATGGGTCGCCACATACTCAACGAATACGTGCGTAGCATTGAGTTTAGCTGCTGGAATGGTGCACGAAAAGTGGGTTTCATCAAGGCAACCATTTAGATAATATTACGTATACATTTTGAAGGATTAACTTTCGAGTTTTGGTACAGCGTCCATAATGAACGTAAGAGGCATCGAATATTCCGATCAAATAGACAATCAGTTATGCTTAAGCCGGCGGTTTTAGGTTTGAATGGATTTTTACTCATCTGTGGTAAATGAAAGAATCATGATAAAATACTCCCATACTACCTGGGAAATGTAATGGCGCAACAAGCTACGCCGTTTAGTAATACGCGAAGGATGAAGCAAAATCATCGTGTTATTACTGCAAGCAAAGGAAATTAATAAAGCGGAAATGTGGGGCGCTACGATCGTTATTTTCTTCCGTTTGGGTTGGCTTGGAACGGGCGCTATTAGCCGAAATGACATGGTAAGCTTTTGGGGAAGCGTTTGGATGTGTGAGTGGGATGAGGGTTTTAATGGTATATAAAGGCATCCAGTGCGATGTCACAAGGCAGCAAAACTGGAAATATTTTGAATAAGGCAATCTTTGTGATATTGACACATACTGTCCCACATTAGCACATTTAAATCAGCATTTCATACTTTGGGCATTTAAAACGGCAGAAACAAGCCCCAAGATGAGTCCTTTATTTTCTGGGTGGTACCCTAAAAATCAGCCCAGGGCCCTTCCAGTAACCATTTTTCGTCAGAATTTTGGGAATTTTTGCTCCATGAGTGTCAATATACATTGGGATAGTGTGGTTTCAGCTCAATATGTACATAAATAACTAGAATATTGGCTTTAAAAAATTGGGTTTCCAAGCCCTAAAAACTACTTGGAATTTCAGGACGGCAAAATAACAACAACAAAAATGGAATTCGAAGAAGAAGTCTGTCTGATATTGACATTAGAAGGAATGACATTGTAAGCTTCTAGGGGGAACGTTTGGATGTGCTTTACATGCGAGTGGATGAGGTTTTCACTAATGGTACTCTGTGTAGGTTTCAACGGCATCCAATGCAATTTTGAAACGGCAAAACAAAACAAATATATTCAAGATGAGGAATTCTGTCTGATATTGACATTTACTGCCATTTCGTAGCACATTTTCGTCATCATTTCATTCTTAAAGCGTTTAAAATAGCCCCAAAACAAGCTACGTGTGGAGTCCCTTTATTTTTTGGTACCACCAATAAATAGCTAGAACCAGCCTACGATACAAATTTACAAACAGCCGTTTTTTGTCTCACAGATATCCGTATGCCATACTACATTTTGTAGAAATTGACAAGAATATTGACTTTGAAAATCCAATTTTGTTGGTCTGAAATAGCTTTGCGGATTTAGCAGACGTCACCCGTTATGATTATTGAAAATCCACATGTAACGACATTTTAGACAATTTTTGACCAGATTAATTCTACATCGAACGAAACTGAATAACAAGGGGGGGGGGGGGTATTTACGTGTAGAAATTTGAAGAGCAAAATATGTTCTATCATGTTGCTTAATAATTATGATGTACAGTGGTTTTGAAATATATAATTGGTATAATAATGTATATTTCGCCTTTCTCGTCCGTTGCAATTTGTAACTCTTTGCAATTGAGCGAGTTTTGTCGCTATTGTAAGGTTTGCTTTTTGGTGTTACGAATAGATAAAATATAAAAATGCTGCCTGATAATCGTAGATACATAATTTAATCCTTTTTACTACGCTGTATGATGAGAAAATGGCGCCTGAGTGTTTATGGCGACCGTTAGTAGTTAAACGTGAGAGCGTAACGTATGACCTCACACTACAGGTTCAAACTCGTAAAACTCCCGTCATGCGCACTGGGCCATAGTCTCCAAGCAGATCGTTTAGTGTCTGCAAATACTCTCCGAGCAGAGGTTTGAGTTTTGGCTTATTTTTATATATTTTTTTTATATAATTTAGGCTTTTTATTGGGCTTTTTTGGCGTAAAATAGATACAAGTGCAAAGAATAAAGCCCAATAAAAAAGCCTAAAAACACGCTAAAAATAAGCCAAAACCAAACCAAAAACAGTATTGAATTTAGCAAAGACAGTATCATATTGGCCAGGTAGTTTTGATTAATTTATTTGCCAGGACGTTATTAGGGCTGGCGTAAAAATATTAAACTGGGCCCTAGTCTCCATGCAGATCGTAGTAGTTGCAAAGACAGTATTGAATTTAGCAAGACAGTATCAAATTGGCCAGGCAGTTATTTGAGATGGCGTAAAAAATAGTCAAGTCACCAAGAGGGTTTTTAAAATAATGATTGTAATAATTTTGAATTATTTGGAAGAATATCTTAGTAACAAAAGGAATATATTTCAATTCATTTAGATATTTCTGAAACATTTTGAAAGCGTCTGAACAAAGATCTCTTTATTTAGAATAAATTCCAAGTGCCTATGTGATTCTTTAACTTTCGAAATATCTTGAAATACTAAAAAAAATAAAAGAGGAAAGTCCAATAAACACGCATAAAACAACTGAAAAAAAGGAGAAATAACCCAAAAGCCTACACCTCTGATTGGAGAGTAACTGGGCCCAAACAGCCAATAGGATCATCCATAACAAAAAGACAAAGAGGATAGAAAAACATCGATGTTTCGGAGATTGAGAGATCAGAAACGAATTGTGTCACAGGCGGAGTGATCTGTTAGAATTATTGCGTGGTGATGTCAGATGTAAAGCGACGTGATCGGGATTTCATTGGTCAAACGCAAATAACCTAAAAACCTACAGGATTGAGTATTGAAAAGTAGAACTGTAGCCGTATGCATCTTCTGTTTGGGTAGTTAGGCTACAGCAAGTAATTTTTATGGATGACATCAGCACGCGCATTAATTTTCGCCTGATTTTGGAAAAAAAAACAAGAAATTTTGTTGCCTTCTGACAGTGGTCAACATGCCGAAAATGGGCAAAGATGTCTGTTGTCATGCCGGAAGGTGGATGGCAGATAACTATAAATGGAGGAGACAAGACAAGGCTCTGATTTTATGTTTTGTTTCTTACTTTGATGCAGTGATATGTGATGCTGGCTGTGTATATGTGATGTTCCCATTGAATTAAAACCATTTGTACAATGATTGAGTCAAAATTGTAAGAACCTTGTTTTTTCGGCCCGCCTTGTTTTTTTCGCCCGCTCGCATTAGATTTGGAATCTGTGGAGGATGCCATCCATAAGATTTACTTGCTGTGGCCTTAGGGAAGAGATGGTATGTAGCGGTGCCGTTTGAAAGAGAGAAGAGATTTGACATGGGAAAATGGTGAACTTGCATCCCCGTGGAAGGGAAGCGTTTGACCTTGACGATTTGGTGGATGACCTTGGGGCTAGTAATCAAACCTTGCTTGTAAAACTGTCAAAACATCTTCTATTCTGTACGGACAGTTCTGATAAACGACAACAAAGGGGGGGGGGTGCTAGAATACACGTTTTTTGGCAGGTAGAACAATAGTGAATGAAAGACCTTTATTGTACGTTTGTGCTCTTACAAGCTAAGTACAGGTCATGAATAAACAGGAAAAAATACAGTAATATCTTACTTAAATCATGCATACTAATGTGAACTACTATTAACAGGTTCAACTTCTTCTCGCTTCTTGTGGCAGTTGTAGGTGTATGTGGAGGTAATGGTACATAATAGTGAATAGGGGTGTTACCTACCTGTACGGCCACGACACGGGACAGCCGGGCGCGTCTCATCCAGTCCTCGGCGGCGGTGCCGTCCCATCCCCGCGGCGTCGCCTCCTCCACCTGCCTGCTCCAGAACACGCCGCCCCGCACTACGTCCTCGATCGATCGGAACGTAACGGTGTGGTTAGCTCCACTCCATTGTCTGAACCCCTCCCGGACTGACAGGCGTGATTTACCGGTCGCGTTTCCCCCGATGCCCGCCCTTGTTCGATCCGACGCAACAGGCCGATTAAGGTCCTGTAATTTCTCGGCCACAGGGTTAAGTTGCCCCGCGTGACCCTCTCCCGAACGGCGGGGATCAACAGGTAGCCGTGATTTGTCCCCTCCCTGATGTTCCTGCGAGGTTGGCCCGCCGCTGACAGCCGAGATATGGCCACTCTCATCTCTATCTATCAGTGCATCGTCCCTCCCTCCCTCCCATGCTTCCGACTCGAAGATGGCGGCTGGCTTCCTCAGCCCGACCTTCCAGCGGCTGTTCTTCGCCGTTTCCTCGGGGACAGCGTGCCTCCTGGCCCGCCCGTCTTCCCTGGTTGTCGTGGGGAGCTGCACCATCAGCCCGAAGAGAGTTCCCAACGTGAAAGCCAGGCCCACCATGATGTAAAGCCTTGTTTGTCTCGACATCCCTTCTCTCCGTGAATCCCTCCCGCCTCTGCCCCGTCCTCACCCGTGACTGCCCGTTGTCTCTCCGGCCGGGGATGGCTCAGAAATTCCCCCAGCGTACCGAGGAGGAACAGCCCGTCTCCTTTCAGCCCTCAATCACAACATTTTACCGAGAGATCCGCCAAATTTCCAAACCTACATCAGCACGTAAAGCCTACCCGCTCGGAGTCCGGGTTTGTGTATGCGTAGCGTCTGTGTATACGTACCGCGCGAACGAACGCCTGTGTTGAAAAATGTATGACATAAAAGTAGAGGCGCTTCACAAATCGAAGCCACAGATCTCCCCTCTAGTCAGGCGCGAGTTTTTAAGGGCGCCAAACGTCAGAGCGTACCGAGAACTAATACGGTGTAGTGGGGAGGAAAATCCTCAAGTAGCCTCCGGCTCTGGTGGACAGGCAGGGTCGGGGAATGTAGTCGGGGTTCGCAGCGGGAGAGATAGCTTTTGTCTGCCGGCGGTTTGAATCGAATTGGCAGCTGGAGTCCTAGAGGCCGTTTCGCTGTACTTCCTCCGAAAGGCGGGCCGGTATACCGGATAGGGCCGACGATAGAGTCGAGCGAAATGAAATTCCGAACCTAACCCGGAGAGATCTTGATTTCGCGTGACGGACTGTAACACTACCCAGGTCTCAAGTACTTTTATAAACCAGGGCCTTGCCCTCTGGACGAGTCCATTCTCTTCCGCTAAACAGGGACCTAGGTCAAGTTCCAAAACAACACAACAAAAATACAAATATAACTTATTACAAAAACAAAAATACCTCAAACAAGTTTATATGCTAAGTGTCCCGCTTAAGAGAAACATATTAAAATACAGTTACAAGAATACAAATGGGTCTAAATGTTTTATTTGGCGTTTTTATTCAATAATGGACGATCCCAACAACACATGCGCAAGGACGGTTGCCCTACTATGACCAGGAATCTACCGTAAATACTTAAATTATTTCTTCAGAAGTCTCCACTACTATGTCAAAAAGTCTACATGCCCATTGAGAAACGGGAGCAAAAATAGAAAATCATTATCATAATGGAAAAATTTATTTACAAGAAAAGTTGAGGAAGGAAAATTGAGTTACACAAAAGAACGAAATCGCCCCGACGTTACGTCCCCAACCTAACCCCCGAGTCCCAATCGGTGATTTAATAGTTTGTCGTTTTGAGTTAGAGATAGAGAAAATAACAGTATGTTTATTTGCTCTAATTACAATTACAACACATTGCACTAAGTGTCATTAAAGTACTTAACTCTATTAAGATTCTTCACTTTTATCGCATATGGCTAGAGTAACAGGCGATACTTCAAGTCTCCATTCTCCTAATTCAATTGTCATGGTTCACGCCTATATCAGTAACCAGTAGAGCAGGCTATAATTAGAAGATACGGGGTAGACGTCACTAGTCAGCGGGGGGCAGCCGCAAACATGCCCGACTACATGCACCGCTCGCCCGTGGGGCTGTGTAACGAACCACGCTAACACATGTAAACGTCATTATACGCCACACGACGCGAAAACAGCCGTACGTTGCAGGGCTCGAAATTCATTTTTGGGAATAGGTGCACTGGTGCTAGATTCCACCAGGCCTTTCTACGGGATTACGGATCGTAGAATTCGGCAAAAAAGAGAGTAAAAGTGGCCAGGGGAGTCCGGCCGCGGAGAGGTTGTTTCTTTCCCTCCGAAGTCAAACCCCAAGGCGGCCAAACTCCCCTGGCAAATATTCTCCTACATATAGCCAACGTAGTTAGTCTGGTAGAGACTACACTGGTGCACCCAACCTAAAATATTGGGTGCACCAAAATATTTTTAGGTGCACCATATAAAACTGAAAATGAGTAGAATGTTAGCAATGTTTCATTTTTTTCTAAAGCAAAGTACTAATACAATAATTTTATTATTTTTCTGACATGCACTTAGAATTTAAGAATATGCTGTATACTACTATACATTTAACATCTTTACATTATGTAGACCTATGAAAATATTTGGGTGCACTGGTGCACCCACAGAAAAAAAATGGGTGCACAGATCCAAATTTGGGTGCACTAAATAGCCTCTACCAGGCTTCGGGAGGCGGCTGGAAAGAGTAGAAATCAGCCAAATAGAGAGTTAGCATGTCAAAGGAGTCGGCCTGTCTATTTGGCTGATTTCTACTCTTTCCAACCGCCTCCCGAAGCCTGGTAGAGGCTATGCGCTAAGGTGCACATGCACCCAGAATTTCGAGCCCTGCATACACAACCGCCGATTCGCAAGCGCGCCATCTACTGTGTCATTCCCGCCAATAGGACTGTAAATCAACTAGCCAATCGGGAGTTAGAGATGGGACGGGGTTCTGTCTCCATTTTTCTGGGTTACTGAAAATGTCTACGCGATTCCCCTGATCCTATGTAGCGTGGGTAATAAGGCTTATACGCTAGCCGGAATTGCCCAGCGTTCGAAAGGGACACATTAGGCCACAGCAAGTAAATTTTATGGATGACATCTTCCGCAGAGTCCAAATCTAATGCGAGAGGGCGAAAAAAACAAGGCGGGCCACAAAAAAACAAGGTTCCTACAAAATTTAAAATTTTGACTCCATCATTGTACTAATGGTTTTTATTCAGAGGAAACATCACATATACACAGCCATCATCACATATCACTGCATCAAAGTAAGGAACAAAACATTAAATCAGAGCCTCTTCTTGTCTCCTCTCTTCATATTTATCGGCCATCCACGTTCCGGCATGGCGACACACATCTTTGCCCATTTTCGACATGTTGACCACTGCCAGAAGGTAACAAAATTTCTGTTTTTTTCCCCAAATCAGGAGAAAATTAATGCGCGCGCTGATGTCATCCTTAAAAATTACTTGCTGTGGCCTAAGTCCCAGTGTCGCGGCTTCTGTAAGCCCGAAAAAGGCGCAGTTTGATTTAATAAATGGCCAGGAACGCTACTGAGAATGATCCCATGAAAATTGCTTTTAGCGGGAATGCTTCGCCGTTTTATTTTTTACCATCAGTACCAGAGTGCGGTATGATGAGCGAAATGCAATCTATTCGGAATCGTTCCGTAAGTAGTGAGCTAAAATGTAATTGTGTGCGTTCCAGTTGCAAGGACATTTCGTAATGTTGAAAGCTTTTTGCGTACTGGCTTGACTCAAAGTGAAATGGCAGCTATACATATGCGCTGATTAAGCAAAAATGTGCATTTTGTGTTCAGTTTGCTGGGATTTTAGGTTGCTTGTTCTGTTTTTTTCTTTTTGTATATGGCAACTGGTGAATTCATTACCATATTAAAACAAGTTCTTAAACACACCGCATGGAAACTACAAGCATGAAAAATTGTGCGTTTTTGTGTTCAGTTAGTTGGAGTCTTAGGGGTTTTTTTTCTGTGTTTTTTTTGTATATGGCAACTGGTGAATTCATCATCGTAAACAAGTTCTTAAAACACACCAGATGGCAACTACAGGCATGCAAAAATGTGCATTTTGGGTTCAGTTTGCTGGGATTTTAGGTTGTTTCTTCTGTTTTTCTTTTTGTATATGACAACTGGTGAATTCATTACCGTAAACAAGTTCTTATCGTAAACACGTCGCATGGCAACTACAGGCATGCAAAAATGTGCATTTTGTGTTTAGTTAGCCGGGATTTTACAAATGGCAACTGGTGAATTCATTACCGTAAACAAGTTCTTAAACACACCAAATGAAAACTACAGGCATGCAAAAATGTGCATTTTTTTCTCAGTTTGTTGGAATCTTATGTTGTTTGTTCTTTTTTTGGCAACTTTAAATGGCAACTGGTGAATTAATTAGCAAATTACCGTAAACAAGTTCTTAAACACACCGCAGCGAAACGACAAGGAGCTTATAAGCTCATTGAAAAAGACAAAACTTTTCTCAGCTACAGAGTAGTTTAAATTGTTTATGTCATAAAAGAGTCAACTAAATTAAAAGACACAAATAAACAATAAACACGCCCCAAAGTGTGATAAACAAAGAACTCCCAGTGTGAGTGATTAACATATGACAAGACTTAATGACATGTCATTAACGGATGTAGACAAGTCATTAAGAAGCCCCGCGTAATTGGACATAATTAACACTGTGTTAACCATAATTAACAATGTGTTAATTGGCTCCCCTATTAGAGTCACAGCGGGGTTCGTTCAGTAGCTTTGAAAATGTATTATTTCAGACAGTTACAACAATTTCTCCATCCTTTCGTCATTTAGAAGGTCACCAAAAAACTGCATTTCTACTAAGATCACAAAACCCACTAATTATGCAGAATGTGGGACTATTCATTATCCACTGCCTTCAAAGAAAAAGTCGAACCCCATAATAGCTAGCGTAGTAGTAGAAGTATAAGTTTTTTCCCAGACAGTTGTTACCTGTCTCCTGTTACTGTATTGCAATGAGTATTATACTTGATTGTAAAAGCAATTAGCCTTCGGGCATGACTTTGCAAATAAAGTTTCTTAATGTACGGAAACAATTGTAGCCTCTACCAGGCTTCGGGAGACGGCTGGAAGGAGTAGAAATCGACCAAATAGAGAGATAACATGCCAGGGCAGTTGGTCCGCTAGAGAGTACAGTTTGCAGCACTCGCATGTTATCTATTTCGTCGATTTCTACTCTTTCCAGCCGCCTCCCGAAGCCTGGTAGAGGCTAAAACAATTTTACACCGGTCGTTTCTGTCTGTCTCCAAGCAGAGGTAGGGCGCGGAAATCATGTCGTTTTTGCAGATCAAGAACGATATAATATGAAGAATCATATAACCTGTTGATCTACGTATATACTTTTATCCACCCATACCCCATTTTGCTTGTTCTTTTTTTTGGGGGAGGGGGCATCGACAAAATATAGGGAGAGTAGGTAGGCAAGAGACAGGGTAAACGTAAGTAACACATGCTAAATTCCCCTTTAGTCCTAGCTGATTTCTAAGCTTTATGCCTCAAAGTATACTCTTTTTGGCGTCTTTTAGCCTTTTTAAATCTTCAATTAGGCTCTTTCGTGTTGGACTGGTTTGTTTTTTTTTACGAAAAATGGCAACAGTCTGGCAAACGGATACTGCTTGGCCTATTTGATGTTGTCTTTGCAGCCACCAAAATAACACGGAGATAACTCAAAGTAGACATGAATGAAAATCCAAAATAATAGTTTAAAATTCCACTCAAACAACAGCCCTAGTTTATTTTCAAAGAACAGAAGATCATCCGTCCATCTGTGCTACTTAAAAGCAACAAGAGAAGAAGATTTAACAAATTCTTCTTGAAAAGAATCCTATTTTTTTCTCAGACAAACTAATCCTCTGACCACCTGCTAAGGCCACACCAAGTAAATTTTATGGATGACGTCCGCGCGCGCATTGATTTTGGCCTGTTCCTAGAAAAAAAACAAGAAATTCCGCTTCCTGTAACTATGACCAAAGAGTCACGACAGTGTTGCAAATCGTCAGATTGACGTGAAACCCGTAACGCGAAAACAGGACAGGACGACAACTGCTATTCCACCTGATTTATTGCTGTTTTGATGATGAATAAACGACTTCTTGCTTGTTACACTGTGTCACCTCATTCAATTTGTGTCCTAACATTTCTCGTCTGTTAGTATATTTCTAATCTAGGCATCTTGCTTTTTAGGGCCCTTCTTGTTTTTTTT